GTGGACAACAATGTGGCAAATGAAATTCAATGTCGTTAAGTGTAAGGTGTAATGCACACTGGGACAAAAAAATCCCAACTTCAAGTATAGGCTAATGGGTTTTGAACTTGCTGAGAATGAGAGGGAAAAAGATCTTGGGGTCGTAGTGGATAGCTCAATGAAAGTGTCAACCCGATGTGTTGCAGCGGTGAAAAAGGCGAACTCCAAATTGGGGATGATATTGGGGAAAGAATTGAGAATAAAACGGCCAATATTGTAATGCCTCTGTACAGGTCTATATGGTGCGGCCTCGTTTGAATAACTGTGTACAGTTCTGGTCACCATATCTCAAAAAGGACATTGCAAAGCTGGAAAAGGTACAGATGATGAGGGGGGTTGGAGCACCTTCCCTATGAGGAAAGGCTGGAAGAGTCTGGGGCTTTTCCGTTCAGAAAAGAAATTACTAAGGGGGGACATGATGACGGAGGTTTATAAAACTCTGCATGGGGTGGAGAGAGCGGACAAAGAGAAATTTTTCTCCCTCTCAAAATACTAGAACTTGAGGGCATCCAACAAAGCTAACGGGCAGTAGGTTCAGGATGGACAAAAGGAAAGACTACTTTACACAGGGAGTGATTAAAATGTGGAATGTGCTGCCAGAGGATGTAGTGATAGTCACAGGAATAAACAGCTTTAAAACGGGATTAGACAGATTCATGGAGGATAAATCCATCAATGGCTAGTAGCCATGGTGACTGAAGGGAGCCTCCACATTCAGAGGCACTAATCCTCTGAATCCCGGAGCCAGGAGGCAACATCAGGGGAAGGTTTTGGCCTCTATGCCCTCTTGTTGGACGTCGAGAGGAACGGGTTGGCCACTATGTGAGACAGGATGCTGGACTGGATGGACTATTGGTCTGACCCAGCAGGGCTCTTCTTTTGTTCTTATCCTCAGGTGCAACGGAATGCCATGCAGTCTTCCAAAGCGAAGATGCCCCCTGGCATAAATATCCTGAGCATGTTGACCATCTGCTGGTAGCTTTGTGGGTGACAAAAGGCAGTGGGAAAGT